TGTCAACGAAATGATAATATGACATTTTGCTGCCAAATGTCTTTTATGTCAAATGTGACATTTGACATAAAAGCACAGAATCACATTTACCTAATACAATTTATAGGTTACTAGCTGAGTCACGCGGATTTGTACGCGTAGAATGGATATGGAATTTTTGATATACATTTTTGTTATTGCAAACCTAAAAATTTGAGCTGTTACCCACGACATCGTATGGGTTCTGTCGTTCTTGCAAGTTAATCTTAAAAGATAGACATATACTGTCGCGGACTTCTTTTTACAGAAGCTTTTTGCATATTAGCTACAATAATGTTTATTATTGAGCATTATAATAATATCTCTGGAAAAAAAGCATTACATCCATATCCATAGGATTTTGAGTTCATGAACGAAACAAAAACAATTTAGGTACCTACTTAACTACAGTACTTCGATAGTCTGTCTGTGTTTTAAATTTTTTAGAATTTGATGATTACGGTTTTACATCATCTCCAAACTTATAGAAGTATGGCATAACGCCTTTTACAAAAGTAGGCTTTGAAAAGACATTGATTCGTAATTGTAGATAAAATAATGTAAAAATTAATACCTCAAGTTTACCTTGCAGTTAACACTTCGATTATGGTAAACCTAGAGAATTTTAATGCATATCTTTAAAAAAATAACAATAATTATTCCACTCGATTATCAACACGAGAATCTCTTATAAAAGAACATCTTTTATTCAATTAATAGATGCTATTTTGTATTTAAAATGTTAAACACTACAGACTCTACAATTATTAAATGCGTAATTACATGTTTAATATCTTGAAGCAGTTATAAAATTCTTTTGCATATGTGTTTCAATTTCAACTAGCACTTGCCCGTGACTTTTATCATATTATGTACGATTTATTTTTTATTAAAGCAAAAATTAAGCTAGATATAAAATACATTTAGCTTTAAGGAGAGAACCGAACTTATCGGGTGAAGAAATATTATATTCCCATCTTCTTCATCTCCTCTATCGTGTCTTTTTCGACCCCAAAACTTTCTCTTATTTAAAAGAGAGATATTCGTCCTTTTGCCTTTCCACAATCTAAATCTCCGTTCTATCTATAATCTCTTCCTATTTGTTCCTAACCATGAAAGATCTTTCTTTCATAATTCAGTTACCCATTTAATAAGTCTATTGCTATTTCTTTTCTCCTGTACTTCAAGTTGCCTGGACGAAATAGCTGGTTAAAGATAAGGCCGCCTTTTATTTAAAAGTTAGTACGTAAGATGCCTTTTTTTTATATGTTCTTTTTTTGTAGTTTTTTATATGTATAAAGCTATAATAAAATAAAATAATAATAGGTAATTCGTCAGCTTTGACTGGTATTGTAACTAAGAACCTGGTGCTTTACTTACTTTATGCTCGATAAAAGGTCTAAAAAATAGATCATTCATATTTGTGAGAAAAATTATGAATGACCAAAGGAATAAAATGTATAACCTTCGTTCTTTATAAGTCAACAATGACAAAATGGCGTCGAGTTTCTATAAATGATGACGTCACCGAACCTTGCATGTTAAAATACAATAGTATTATAATTTTAATACAAAGAAATAAAAAGTCTATAAATTTAATCAAGGTAATTTCGCATACTAATTATAATTTATAATTTATTTTTAATCGGCTGACTGTAACAATTAGTGTTGAGTGTTAGATTTTTTCCTCTTTATCACGTTAATAATAATTTCCTTTACTAGAGCAACATACTTAGCGTAACGCGTGACGCTGCGTACAGCGTTTATAATAACCACAGCATTCGACGTGTTTGTAATTAATTGATATAGATAGCTAAATATAGGTACGTTTGGTGAAAAACTCGAGCTTGATTTAATCTTATATTCAAATTTATTTCAAAAAATTTGTTCTCTGCATTATCTTCAGTTTTATTAAGTTAAAATAAATTCGTTTGTGTTCCATTAATTAATTTAGAAGGTCATGTTTTAAACCGTTAAGATGAATATGTTTCAAATATTATACATGACAACCTCCGTAGTTCAAGGCAATAAGTACACGTTTTTAATAAAATAAAGCGCGAAATGAATTAGAATGTGCCATGACCACGATGGCTGCAAAGCGTCTAAAACGTCAAGCCATTAAAATAAATAAGTTTAACTAACACCCTATTCGTTTTAAACCGTTAAAAGTGTTTTATTCAAAAGCATTTCTCGCTAGCAAAACGAGATATTTTAACTACGATAGCATTAATCATTTGCCCAAGGCGCGGCTTCACGGATGGCCAACCATGGCGTGGTGTGATCTTTAAATGACTCCTTATTACCAAGTGCTAAGGTTGAAAATGCCTCGCCTGTAATTGTAAGCTGGGTGGAGCCACACTGACAGATATTAATGACTTCTAGTGCGGGTCCGGTACATAAAGCTATTAACCATTGTTGGGGTCAGCACTCTGTTAGAAATAGTACCTACATAATGTTAGGTTTAATGGTTTAAAAGCTTTGTTAATTAACTAACAAACAAAAATACAATTTACTTAAATGAATGTAGGCATTTGGGGACAAGCACACGAATTAATTTAACTAACATAGGTATACGTATAGCTAATATAATCAATGTATGGTGGATTTGATCCCCACCGGGGCTAATATGTTTCCAATCAATTTATAATTTTTCTGGAGTCTGGATTTCGGCTGGAAAACTGGACATATAATCGCTGGAAGGAATTTTAAAAATCTGTCCCTTCGAATGTTCCAAGCCGAAATCGGCAGACAGCGCGTCTTTCTTTCTCGCGCGCAACGTAATTTCAGCTTTGACCCGTGCAAAATAAGGTTTAATGCCTTATGTTTTGCAGCTTAAGAATTGAAGATGGCATTACAGAGATTAACGGTTGCAAAAGGATGATAGGTAGCTTAGTTGGTTAGAGCAGCAGCACGGAACTGTGCACTGGAAGTCCTGTCTGTGTCGTATTTTTTTTTCAATTTAAAATCCGATCTTTCTTTAATGTCATCATGTGAAGGTTTTTATTATACTAATTACTAGACCAAAGAGCCAATAAATGAATACTGTCCTATAGTTTACGCGAGTAGTACTTTAACGGTTTAAAACGCGATATATTAGTTAAACTTATTTAAAAATTATTTTTAACTTCGGCCCGACGTTTCGGATGCTTTGCAGCAGCCGTGGTCACGGGGAGACTAAAGATGGAAGATGTCTCTGACGTCAAAATAAAAATTGCCGACATCCGAAACGTCGGGCCGAAGTAAAAAATCATTTTTAGATAAGTTTAACTAATATATCGCGTTTTAAACCGTTAAAGTGTTTTATTTAAAAGCCAATAAAGGAGTTATATGTCGATTTACTTCGAAACGTGATAATTGGTTGTCTTTTGCAACATTAGTCACGCCTCAGCTCAAACATAGTTGCCTCGAAGGTAACTCGTAAAACTTAATATTAATAGCCGGATTATTGCTTAAACACGATTATGGTACAGCGAAAACGTGATTCGGGAGATATTTCTCGTGTTATTGCTCTGAGGAGGTGACATAAGATTTACCTACGATGTACCTAAGTCGCAAACTGTCAGATATACCACGGGATAATTCTATTAGAGTAAAAGTCGTTTGTCTTAACTATGGTAATATTATAAAGCTAAAGAGTTTGTTTGTTCGAACGCACTAATCTCAGGAACTACTGGCTCAAATTAAAATCTTTTTGTGTTGGTTGGAGCATGTATCGAGGAAGGCTATTGCTAAAATATCAGGCTGCGCCCAGAAGGAGCGGAGAAACAGAGGGACATGTGAATCAAGGGGAAAAAATTATTTATCTTTAAGGATTTTCGTTGGGTAGGTACCTACGCTGTGGAAACGGTTGATGTTAAAAAAATATGTATGAAAGATTGATCTTTTAACTTTTGGTTTGAATTGGAATTCGTTACACTCCACGAAAACAATAAAGTAGATAAGTTGGGATTCATCGATTTTATAAGGATATGAGCTGCTTATTCCTCTTTTAAGCTAAAATTTTAACCGCCTCTTAGCTAAATAGTTAAACGTCCTAGGTTTAAAGCCAGTGGAAACAAATGTTTCTTTTTGCTTGCTTGTAAATAAAATGGGCACAGAAATGTCTTCGCCCCTGCCCCACGGGGTTTTGTTATTTCAGATTCTAGAGGCGGAATCCAGGGAAATAATATTTTAATTGTCTGTATATAAAATCGTAGAATGAAACTAACACAAAATTTCCCCACTCCGCTAAATAAATAAAAAGTAAATACTTTTTTGTGTGAGCAGTGACATTTAATGTCTCCTATGATAGGGACGTCAAAATTTGTTTGCTATGTTGTATTGCCACAGATAATAATTATATAAAATGGGTAACGGCTATGTACAGATAATAACAGATAGCCAAATGGGTGGGGCGAGCGAACGTGTCCGCATCGTATAATCTGTGGAGCACTTCCTGCAGGGCCAATCAATATTGACGTTTCCATCGAACAATAAACAACAATGGGCACAGTGGTGTTATCGAAGTAGGCGGCCGTTTCCTGTGGCACCCGCGCGTAGTCACGTAGCCGGTCACAATGTAACGTTTTTCATGTTTTATTTGAATGCCCCTTGTTTTGCGCCGGACGCGACGATAACTGTGTTTATTTCGATTGGCGGATTAACTGTTTTTGAATTGAGAGCTTACATTACTTTTTTTATAGACGAGGACGGACAAGCAAGGGGTTTTGATGGGAGGTGGAACACCCCAGCCAAACATCTATACCGGATTCGATGTCGACCTATGTTGGGTTTGCATATTCGGACAGTATTGTTTGTAAATTACACGGGAACTACCCTACCTACCTACATTAAATAAAACATTTTAAATGTTTTAAAACACCCCTTTACACTATGCGCAGTCCAGCGTTAAGCGTTTTATTTTGAAGAGTTTCACTGCCTCGTCAAGTTTGAGTTTAGATTTTGTCATTTTCTAAAAAAAATCTAGCTACAATTCTTTTACAATGAACGATGCTATCACGCCCGTGTCTTTAGAAGAAGGAGGTAGTAGTGAATATCCAAACCAAAGCAGTTCGACAGTGCAGTTGCGATGTTACATGGCTGGGGTAGGTATTTCCTTCAACTGAACTTGAAGTGAACTTTTGCTTGTTTGTCCTCCTCTATGACATAAAAAAGGAAATCTAGTGGCCTCAGCCGTTAACTAAACAATCTTTCCTATGTCAGAGGGAGTACCTTTACATTTTAACAATGACAGCCAGGAATAAAATCATATTCTATATATAACTTAAATTAATCAAGAAATGGATGTGTTCCCAATCATATGTTCGTCGTATAAATAAAATTAAGTCAATAAACACATTTGAAACTCTTTATGTTATCGCACACGATGGCACTATAGAAATTTAAAATGGGAAAAAATTACGACTCGGGCAGGACTTGAACCGGCATCGTCAGCGTTCCGTGCTGCCGAGTCGAAAATGTGTGCAACATGTAAAATTAATAAAGTTTTCAAACGATACAAATAACTTTTTAACGAAAATGTTACGTCATATAGCTAGATATATACGCTTGTATATATAGAAGCAAAACAGTTAAAATATACTAGCAACGATCTTGAAATGTATAGCTATACTATATCTAATAGATACTAACATATAGACAGACTGTAAATCTTTGTCCTTACAACGTGTTTACTACTTTTTCATGACATCCATAATCTTGTTAATAGACTTTAGGTATTGTTAATACATTGTCTTTTAGTAAAATGAAAAACATATTTTCTGTAAGAATAAGAGAAACTTAACTTTACGTAGGTTTATTTCTTAATTTTAAAGTACCTACTTAGAAAAATGGGTACCTAAGTTTAGTTTCGTCTGTAAGTACTTAGTTTATACGAGTAGGTACAGTAGACAATTAAATAACAATTTCAACGGTGTATAACTCGAATAGATAAAGTTGAGTAATATATTTCGCGTTTTATACCGGTAAAGATGTGATATTTAAAGTGTAGTTTCGATTTTCGAAAATACTTCATTTCTATGCAATAACACATTATTGCATTGCGTAGATGTTTCTTTGCCTTCTTAGAAGTACACAGAATGGGTAATTAAACTTTATTTAGACATGGAACATACATGTAGGGTTGCCAACTTGCCAGTAAAAAAACACATATTAAAGAAAAAAAATAGTGGCCTTACTTTAATCTTAGCTAACGCTACAGAACTATTTCCAGTAATCTTTCGGAATAAGTCTGTATTTGTCTATTATTTTAAAAAAACAAATGAGTAGCAGCTAAAACATAAAACTGCAATGTCTGTCGTGGCCCATGTGCAAAGTGGCAACCCTACGAAAGTAGCCCACGTCCTCCGCACACATTCAAATCACCATAGACTATATGTAAAACCACAGATACCTGTAAAACTCGAACGACAACATAGCACTGGCCGCAATAGAAAAATGTTTGTAAGCTCGACGTCGTAGGCGTTATGAAAAAAAAGCGGTTCTATATTCAAAGTTGGCCGTTCGCCCAATAGCGCGCGTCGGAGGCGTGGCGGCGACTTCTGATTGGCTCTCCGCCGCCTCATAACGCATCCGATTATAAAGTTACATTACCATCACTTTTGTGGTCGATGCAACGGCTTTATTGTTACCTACGTTTCATTTGAATTACGTGGCCATTCAGATATATCGCGCGTGTGCTGACGTCCTTGAGGGCGGGCTGCTCAACTGTGAGTCATCGGTTCAAAATTGACGGGTCACGAGATGGTATTGGCATTGTCAAAAAATTGCTTGGTCACGAAGAGCGACCACGCGACGAGCATAGCGACCAGTCGCGCGATTTAGTTGCTAGCTTTGTTTAGGTAGCAGTTCGCATTAATCATGATATATATATTTTTTTACTGCGTTCAAGATCTAAACTGATTCTAAACAGGACGTGAACCGTCATCCTTCCGTGCCGTTACTCTAGTCAATTGAGCTACCGAGTCCTGGTTAGAGCAACAGCACGGAACTCTGAGGATGCCGGTTCAAATCCTGCCCGAGCACACGATAGTGTCACATTAAAAAAATATAATGAAAGTTTACTAATAAACGAAAGGATTAAATCAAACAGATCGACGGGGCAAGGGACCCATTTATTATAATACCTATGCATATACACTTGAGTTTGCCCCATGCCCCAAGTCGAGACAACGGGAATTCGCACATAATAAACTAACAAAGACTTAAGTAAACTACGTTTTAAAACTAAAACATTTCCTATGTTTTGTGCAGCGAGGGGCGTTTTACGATGTTACTGTGAATTCGCGATAACAATGCTACCATTTAATGGCAGTTTATGTTAGTTACAGTCATACTTATGTGTCTTTTTTATGGTTTATATATTGGTCTAGTGATTAGTACAAGTGTAGGCCACGAGGTACGGGGTTCGAAGTAATCGTTCTTTAGTTAGAATATTTTTGGGCAACTCACGTAAACTACAAACTAATGACTCTAAAGTTACTAGTACTCACGTAGTACCTACACATTTAAATAAAGCACTTTAACGGTTTAAAACGCGATGTATATCTAACTTAAACGGATTATATAAACATACATAGCTTCAACAAAAAAATTAACTATGGCAACTCACAAAACAGGAGCAGAATGTTACGAACACACTTGTGTCGCAACACTGATGTTCAGTGGCCCCTGGCGCCACCCGCTTCTGGGAACAATATGCGTTTACAATTTACACTAGTAAAAAAATAAATGAACAAATTATGCGATCACACGTGACATCAAACATGAAACATGATATAAATAATTATAAGTAGTTGATTGTGGCACTAAAACAACAATTAAACACTACTTGAATTAAAAGTCGAAAAATTGAAAAAAATACGACTAGGGCAGGACTTGAAGCGGCATCTCCAGCATTCCGTGCCGATGGCCTAACCAATTGAGCTACCGAGTATTTTTTTATATAATTCATTATCGATTTTTAATTTATAAAGTGCCATGATGTGCAATAACGTGTGAAAAATATATATATTTTTTTAATTTATCAACTTGATTCTAAACCAATATTGACGGAGTTTGAAATATACGGATACAGAAATGTGTCCGCCCCGTACCTTGAATGTGTGATAAAACTTATCTTTCAAAGCTCGGATGAGAAATTGCAATATAGCTTGCGTTTATAGCAACTGCTTTACTGCGAGATAACTGACGCGATATACTTTACGAGCTGGCTATGCCGTTATTGCAGTGGGGGTACGTGCTTCAATTCCTGTCTCTTAAAATATTCTACATAGCAAATATATATTTAATGACTATTTGACGTATAAGCCAGATGTTATTCTATATTATACGATGCCTAACAGCTCTCTGAAATCTTAACGAACTGTTAACAATAATAACGAACTGTTTTTATCGGTTTAAAATGCGAAGTTTTTTATTACCTTCTTTAATCCTACCGTGACCCGTACCTTCAAAACAAATGTGGGGTCGAGTCAGTAAAAATTGATTTCGCGTTTTAAACAGTTTAAAATTTTACCACTAGCGTGAACTACAGACCTGTCTATACTGCTTCGGCGGTTTCTAGTTTTTATTAGAACAACTTGTAATCTAATTTTATATTTTTCACTTAAAAAACTTTTTTATTTATATCAAAGAATTATAACCTTCAATAATTGTTGTATCTGAAAGTGCCACAATAATCAGAAGGCCTTGCTTTTTTACGACCCATAAAAAGATACCATCCTTAACATAATTCGACAGACAGCTTTATAGCTGAATAATCCTTATGGACATAAAAGGTTGCCTAAAAATAGCATATTATGTTGTATTCCAAGGTGCGTTCCTTTTTCATTCACTGTGTACTAGGTACGCAATAGGTCGGTAGATAAGATAAAACAAATTGTTGTTTTTACAACTACCCACACGCTTTAGTATTAATATTCTTGAAAACGTAAGATAAAAGAAAATATCACAATTATTCTGAATGTATATTGTACGTAAAGGGACAAATACACATTATAATATAGAGATTTTGGCAATTTTCACATTAAAACTGCCAAAAGCTTTGAATAAAACAATTTGAACGGTTTAAAACGTGAAATTTGTTACTGAACAAATATTTCTTCCTTCGTTCTGCGCCTTTTGAATTGAGAACGGGTAGTAAATGTAAAGTTAGATTCTTTAATTGTTGACGTGAAATACATTACCTCCATTATTAAATGTTTTTTGACTTTGACTTTAATTGAATTCTACTACGGCTTCACATTTTCACATTGTCCTCCGGTGGCCACGACTGCCGACGAATTGGTTTACAAACCAATTTAAACGTTGGGTAAAAATAATAAAATAAGAGAAATTTATAAACAGAATATTTCGCGTTTTACACCGTTAAATGCGTATTATTTAACGTGTACTATGCGTAGACTATAGACAATACCTTTTTAAATTGTAACTAATTAAAGACGATTTAATGTACTTAAGATAAAAAAATGCGTCTTAAATATCGTTGCAGAACTGACTTCGATATAGCAATAACAAAGGTAAAGCTTCCCTTAATAACGTCCAAAGGGCGTTTATTAGAATGACATACTCATATTTCTAAGTCATAAGTCATGCTGTCATTCTCGAACGAGACAAAACCGTGACACATTTGCGTTACAAAGCTACATTTGTGTCTCGGTGTGACCAGCTGTGAATAGATGGACAAAGGGAAGTCGTAAACGGACCTTCCACTTTACGAGTTGGTGACGCTGTTTCTTAATCCATTTTATGGCTCTACGGAGTACTTTGTAGCTTGGAAAATTATTTTATGTCTTACAATTCTAGATACTTGTGTACCTAAGTATCAAAATAGGACATGAAATCTCAACGACCACCTCTGTACCTACGCTCGAGAGCTAGGCTCTTAGTCTTAGGTTTAAATCCTGGAGAAATAATGATTCCAGACAGCAGAGGGCGTTTACAGTGATCCTCTATAACGATTGGTCTTGAGCGTCGCGTTTTATCTCGCACCACGTCTTTCTAACTTTCTTCGCCTCGTCCTCGACGCTTTGCGCTACCCTTGAGGATTCCAATCATGCGCCTGTTTGGGAATTTGATCGGAATCTCTATGGAGTGTGTGGCCAATCCATTTCCATTTGTGGCGTTTAATCTGCTGGCCGACTGGAGTCGACCAGATAGCTACAGAAGCCTGTAAATTAATTACTGACGTCAACTTTGTAATTAATTATTTTGAAAGCAACTTATGTTGTTATGCGTAGTTAAAGTTAAGTTAATAATTGAGTTTTGTAGGGGCAGAGTGGCCTAATGACAAAAAACATGATTTCCAATAAGAATGAAAATAAAAATGCGCAATTGACTTAGCCGAAAATGAATGTATTAAAAATTATGTTAAACAACTTTCAGTCACTGTGCTCTTGTAGATTAACATTTTCAGACTATACAAATATAAATAAGTCAAGTCGTAAAATATAATAATTAGACAAACAAACGTTAAAGAACAAATGAAAAACGCTTTCCAAGTTTTCGAGAAAAATTTATAATTTCAAATAAAATAATTAAACTTGTTATGTTAAATATATAATGATTCAATACTGTCTATAGTTTACGCGAGTAGTACACATTTAAATAAAACACTTTAACGGTTTAAAACGCGATATATTAGTTAAACTTATTTTAAAATGATTTTTAACTTCGGCCCGACGTTTCGGATGCTTTGCAGCAGCCGTGGTCACGGGGAGACTAAAGATGGAGGATGTCTCTGACGTCAAAGTAAAAAATTGCTACGCTAGCGCCATCTGTTCCGTCGAAGTTGGTATTTGACGAAACTGGCCGGGTCCTTGCAGAATTGATATAATTCGTGTTTTATTTAAATGTGTACTACTCGCGTAAACTATAGACAGTATCAAATTTTTTTGCTGACGTAGACCCTTAGGGGTCGGTATAGACCACTTTGGGAATCACTGCATTAGACCAACGAGCAAAAGGATAAATATTATCGTAACCTATTGGGTTTCGCCTTTTAAGAGTGGTATTACTCTCTAGAACTACTTAAACGATTCTCGGAACATTCGGCACAATGTACTGTTACAAACGATACCAAATATTTACATTAAACTCAACTCGCTCTAAACAAAGTATTACAAATCGGATGTTATTTTATGTCATGCCATTCCCAACCACTCATTAGAATGTTGAATTTGCAATTTCGTTATTCATTTATAGTTTTAATCCTTGAAATATATTTTTTTAATGTGCACATAATAAGTTTAAAGTTTTAAAATACGCCAAACGTTACCACACGTTATTTCGTTACTTGCATGATTATTATTTGGATAAACTTTAGCGAATTATTAATAATACATTGTGTAAGGCTTTCACGGCCGTCGTTCAGCATATACTTATTAATAATAATGCATTAACTTAGATTTAAAGATGATTAGGTAAAGTAAAAACGATAGTTGAATTAATTTTAAAAGATTTTTTTTGTTTCCGTAGTGCACGCAACGTAATCAATCAAGAATTAATTGGTCCGTATTTGGAAATACATTGTAATATTACTGTACTGTATTGTAATATACTGTATAATGTTTCTGCGCTCCGACTACTTGTCGCAACATGACGTTAAATAAGCCTTCCTCGATAAATGATCTCCAATATATGGCAAAAATATTTTTTGATTCGAACCAAGAGTTTCTAATACTAGGGCGGATAAATCTAAAAATAAAACCTCTTCAGCTGCATGATATTACTATATAGGTATTTAAAAAAATACGTAACGACAGTAGAGCATCACCGCGAAGCGTTGATGTCATAGATTCGAATCCCGCCGTGAGTATAAATATAGGTATATACTAAGTATTGTAGATTTATAATTTATATAATTAACTCTTTTTCTCTTTTCTTTCCAGCTGTATCATTAGAACCGCTAGTGGAGAACTGTCACAAGCTGCTAGAAATATTCCATTACTCGTGGGAGATGATGCCTTTGGTTCTGGTCATCCTCAACTACGCGGGCAACGACCTCGAGGAGGCGTCGCGGAAAATTGACGAAGGTAAGCCTTCTAATTCTACAAGCGTTACTATGGCAACGGCGATGGTGCTTACAGAACTTAGTTCAGCCTAAATAAAAAATCGATTAGGAATTGAAAAAATGCACGACACGGGGAGGACTTAAACTTTTGCTCTAAATAATTGAGATATCAAGTCCTACACGTCTCGTAGAACTTTTTCAACATTTTGATACATTCACCTCTCGCGCCTCAGTTCAGCCGTTCATCATTTCAGTTGATCTCCATTTGTGTCAAAGCGCAGTGTCATAGATCATAGTCTCACGTGTTATAGTTTTACACTGTGCGCACTACTTTGACGATAACACTGAACTCAATTCTGTATGTAAATCGATCGAAGTTACTTGCTACTTTAAAAATGTATCATCAAATATCAACATTAGTTTGTGCAAGTGATTTTTCACACAACGATATTTTGACAAATAAATTTGAAAACAAAAAATGGTTAATTCAAGTTTAACCTAATTAACTTCGATCGACATTTTTATATCTTTGTGTTGAATAAATAAGAAGTATTTATTTGCATTTTACTAAATCTTATACCTTTACTATGTAAATAATACTAAGATTAATTAAAAAAAGATTTTTAAAGATTTGTACATTGCACAAGTAAAATAAACTCACTTTCTTTTATTTCCCTGTATATTTAAACTAATAGTAAAGGTATTTAAATTTAAGAGCGTTTTATTTATAAGTTATTGACGTAAAGTACAAACTTATCGCAATTTAAATAATTCTTTACGTACGGGCATTTCTTAAAAAGTAAATATAAGATTCGACTTTATTATTTAGAATGTAAATTGACTAACAAAAGGCAAGTGTTACCAGTTTTCTACAAATCTATCAATATTTGTGACTAATGTCACTTAAATAAGAATTGCCACCCAGTAACGAATTATGTAACGCACAATAATATCTAGATAAAGCAAAAGACCCGCTTATGTGAAACGCTCTACAAAGATTTAAAGATAACAGTTATGCATATAGCAAATAAATCTAAGAGTATTTGCCATTTTGGCCAGCACAACATAATATTATCATATAGAATTACGAATACTATTATTTGTATCAACTTGTTATAGATGGGTAAACCATAGCGTTACGTAAATAGCTGAATTTAATTTAAGCTGGACTCGACTGAAAAATTGTATTTTAATCAATCTTCTTCTTGATTTGCACTACCACCAAATCGTAGCCATAGAATATGGTAAATATTACCCAGGTCTTGCATACTCCGGTTTCGTGACCATAGATAATTAATAAACTAAGTCAGGCCACAGATAAAGATTCAAAAATGAGCAAAGTAATTGTTTTGTGCAGATAAAAAATGAACTTGAATTGAAATGAATACAGATTAACTAAAGTGCGTAACACATATTTTAGAGGGTTTCCAAGCAATTAGAATTGCGTGTTAAATTATATTTTTTATGATCGTTTCGCGTGCGTCTTGTACGAACTAAAAATGTACGAATAATAAACAAAGAAGTTGTGGAAAGACGTAATTGATAACTATGAGTTTACCCATTCCATGAAAGTAAATTGATTAATTAAAAAATGTTGGCATTTAATTATCGTATGAAAAGACGTATAACATACAAGAGTTTAAAATAACATCTGTAAATATACTACTTACTTAACTACACGTATACAAAAACCTTTAAAAAGTGAATAGGTATATTAGTTATTTAAAATAAAGATAACTAATATATTTTGTGTAGTTATTGAAAACTTGTATCTATTTAAATAAAACACTTTAACTGTTTAAAACGCGATATATTAGTTAAACTTATTTGAAAATGATTTTTAACTTCGGCCCGACGTTCGCGACGGCGATCTTATGGTAACATTATGTTGTTCTCGTAAAACTTAGAAGAAAAAAATGCTAAAGCGAAAAGAAACTGCGATTTTTAAATATGTTTTACAAAGACTACATTACTTTAAATTTGTTTGACTTTGTAAGGCATAGCTATTTGATAATGTTTGTGTCACTGTTAACATTGGACCTGGTATATCATTTTCTTTCAAACCACATCTAACGGTAAGATACAAAAGCATCACAAACATCATTTTTGACAGATCTTCATGAATTTGACAGTTCTGTATTTCAAAGTTTTCTGCATTCAATTTGAAAAAACTTATTTAAAAAAATAACCTGTTTAGTAAGTTTATAAGATATGAAAAAAAACACGCTTAAGTGGTATATAATTCAAATAATTTAAATTTAGAGGTAGTAATTTCATTCAATCCTTTATAAACAAGAATACTTATAATGGCAACTTTGAAGTAAACTCACTCTGAATTAATGGTTGTGTAAATTTACAGAAGAAAATCATTAATGAATATTAACCCTTTGTCATTAACATCAGCAAGCTTACAAAAACCTCCTTCTTACTACATAATATTTGCATTGCTTCTATTCTTATAGAAAAACGTACACAACTAACGTTCAATTATTTCTAACTGTCATTTTTTATAAAAAAAACGCGTTTTTATCGAGTTTCTATCACATTTACGGTTCATTAGATTGTGTATCGTGTTTTAATTTGAATATATACATTTCTATTAGTCCCAACGACATTTGGATACTATTAAATCGATGGAGTTCTATATTATTTTAGTATATGTCGATGCTACAAAGTTTAACTCATTATTGTATTATGTTGATTGAGGCTTCTAGAGGCAGAGTGGCTGACAAAAAACATGATTTTCAATAAGGAGGAAATAAAATGCGCAATTAACTTAGGCGAAAACGAAATTGTATTATTATTGGTGTAAGAATTTAATAATTTTCGATCACTCTGTTCTTGTAGATTAACTTTTTTGACTATAAAAATATAAATAACTCAAGGCATAAAATAGCAGTTAGACTACTCTGCCTCTATCGGCCGAAACTTTTATTGTGTTGTTCCGTTTGTGACGCAAAACAATAAAAATAAATAAAGATTGAAAATTTATAACGAAAATAATGTGACAGGAAACGAAAAATATTTATTTTATTACAACGTAACGATTCGTATTTTGCACTCGAAACAATGAGCTTGTTTTAAGCTGCGTACACGTCAAAAATAGTAAACAGTTAATAATATAATAAAATTATTTTCCAATTAATTTCCACGCCATCTGTTGGCGACATTACATTACTATATATCCCAGGTCAAATGTAAACAGTTCTATCTGCCCTGCGAATGTGTTGACATTATTTCTAGTGTTGTTTGTCCGCAGGAAAAATGATTATCAACGAGTACGCGAGGAAACACAATTTAAACATCTTTGACGGCCTCGAACTGCGGAACTCAACACGCCAGTATGGACTTTAATAGTAATACTAGTTGTTCCATAGCAATTACACATCACATACACCGACACAACATACATACATCGATAGAGAGCAGTCGATTCCTTAAGTTGCCAAAAAAAATACTATTTTAACATATCTACATCCGTTTAGTTATTTACATTCCGGTTACAAGAGCCACAATTTAACAAAACTAACAAAGCTTAGTATTGTTATTACTTAAAAGTTAGTCCGGTTTCTTTAAAAAAAGGTCCAAAAACTATATTTTCACATTTTAAGCTCCTTAATTCTATTTGTTATTGTCAATAAATGGTTTTATTTATTCATTTCCCATACGTATATTTTTCTCCTATTTTGTATATTGTTCATACCTTATAATATACAACACAGTCAATGTCGCTTTGTTGACGGGTTAAAATTAATATTTTATGAATCAAAAACAGTTTTTTTTATAGACAATAAAAAAATCTGTGTAACAATGACGATTTTTGTAGGTATATGGGAGACAATTTCTGCCTTTATTTAAGTTAATTTAATAAATGTTAATTAAAAATACTTTTCTATCTAACATTAGATTTATAACCCATTATGAAAAGTGTCAGATTTAGTAATTTATTAGTCCCGTTCATATAGCTTATAAATTTAAGAGTTGATTGAGTGAATAAAAAAACTATAGGTACACATTAGAAAACTGAACTTAATTAAATCATGCTATTTAGAATAGGTACTTACTTATCTTGATGGTTTTCTTTTTACGTTTTTACTTTTTGGGTCAAATTTTGGGTGCACCGCTATCGCCAGACCCAAAATCTATTTTGACAGCAGATATCCTTACATTTTTCTATATTTCTATACTAATATTATAAATGCGAAAGTAACTGTGTCTGTCTGTCCGGCTTTAACTCCGATACTACTGAACTGATTTAAATGAAATTTGGTACAGACAGAAAGGACATAGACTTTTAATGCCAAAAAAGGGGATGGAAAAGGAGATGAAAGTTTGTATGGAAATTCGTGGTTTTTGAATGAAACAACAACAATGAAACTTTCTTCTTTGGCTTTTTGGGAGTGGGAGTGGGAGTTAGAGTAGGAGTGATGTGAGGCGAGAGTGTTGCGGCAAAGTAGCACTTACAACAAAGATTGGCTGCCTTAAATGCGCCCATATATAAATTAATAAATAGCCTAAATAGTTAAAAATTCTACCCCAAGTCACGATTCCGCGCGGCTGAAGTCGCGGGCACAGTTGTTTTACATATATGTAGATTAAACATAGATGTAGGGTATTCTGTCAAAACGCAATCTATAGTTGGTTTTCGTACCATGATCGGACTATAACACAAATCGGCTGCTTTCTTTTGTTCCTCGCTGAATCCAGCGTACTAAGGTTAAACATATGCATCAAAGCAAACACACACAACAATGTAGCGGGCACAACAAAATCATTTACACGAGCCGATAAAAGTTTCGTGTTAAATGAGCACTCACTAACCAGTAGTGATTTCCACTCTGCAGTGATCGGACGAAATTGGAGAAATTCGATAATTAATTGCTAAAATGCAGTGGACTTTGAGTGACAGTGTTGTGTTAGTGTCGACCGTCTTTCATTTGTTTTTTCTTTTTTTGTAGGAAAATGCTGAGCGAAATTAATAATATAAGTGGTGTACTGTCATCCTCTATGAAGTTATTTTGCGAATGATACTATATTTTACAAGTGTGTTTTGAATGGACCTGCTGTGCGATGCTATGTGTATAATGGACAAT